AAGGAAGGAAGGAAGGAAGGAAGGAAGGAAGGAAGGAAGGAAGGAAGGAAGGAAGGAAGGAAGGAAGGAGAAAAATAATAAGAAAACGAAGCTTTGGCTACTGTAGCAGTAATTGTTCCTTTTAGTGCAGATTTTTGCCTATTTGCCTATCTCTTTGGAGAATTGTATGAAACTCACAAGCCCTTTTGTCAGATGTATGTATATAACAATGTTCCTCTGCACTGTTAGCTTTGTACAACTCTCAAGTGCTGTAGACTCTTGAAGTCTCTGAGCCCATGTTAAAAACTCATCCTGAAATTTCCATAGTGCCTTGCAGCATTTATTACTTTACACCTCATTTTAAAATGTTTCCCTGTTTTGCCTCTTTTTCTACCTTAAAGGTAAAGACATTTCTGATTTTAGTGCCACAGTATTTGCTGGAGGGCTTTATAAACAATAGGTGCAGTGAGTATGTGCTAGTCATGTTATCAGTGACTGTTACTGGAACACAGGCAGTTTAAAAATACTTACCTATCTATTTATTTGAATGTGTATGCATTCTTATAGTACACACATACACACACACGTGTGGACCCGTAGAGGACAAACATAATCAGGTATCCTTGGGTGTCCTTTGTCACTCTATGCCAATTCCTGTGAGGCAGGGTCTCTCCTTGAACCTGGGGCTCATGTTTTCTTTGTTACCAAAAGCCAAAAATCCAAAAGCAACCCTCCTATCTCTGCCTTCCCTCCGAGTTTGGATTAGAGGTGTGTGCAGACCACACAGCTTGTTACATAGTTCTGGGACCCAAACTCTGACCTCATGACTGTATAGGCCTTTTAGCCAGCTTTGCCCTTGCTGGGCTAACTTGAGCATATCTTCTGTTGGCCTGGGTAGGTCCTACTGGGGCACTCTGCCGATACAGTGCCTTTGTTCTCAGAATTGCACTTCAGCCCCTTTTTGGACCACCGCTGATTGATTATGAGTAGAGCACCGAGTCCGTGCCAGTGAAGCCCTGTGATCAGTGACTTTCAGCTGGAACCCGTGCTCACATGGGAGCTGAGAAGAGCTGGAGTGTTGGCACTAACTCCCAACACTATGTTCTGCCTTATCAACGTGCAGGGTAACTACAAATGGTAGCTCTCTCTCTCTCAGGGCCCTAGATGTGGAACCAGGAAGCAGTTCCCTGGCCCTATTCTCTGTTCCTAAACAAACACCTTCCTGCATTGATGCAAGCAGAGGTTGGAGTGTGGATCTAGTTAGTCATCTCTCTGTAGTCTCTTAGGTTGCAGAATTGTGTATGTTGTAACAATATCTTAAATGGTCCATACTTGTTAACACATTTGTATAACCATATTTTCTAGCAACATCACCTTGAAGGTTAGCAAAGGCTGTTACAGCTTGGATAAAATGGTGGAGTGTATGCAGCTTTTCTTTCCTTTTCTCCTTGTTCTTACCTTTGGGTTGTTCTATCCTTCAGGAACCTCACTTCCCACCAAGTTTGGCAGACATTCCAACAGTATGAATAGTGGATTAACTTAGGTTTCCTTTGCTCTTTGCAAGGAGATCTACTTTCACACATTCTGTGAAAGAGTAGGGAAGGCCTAACAGGACCCTCACCCTGACATTCCCATGCTATGCCCTGGTGTTTCAGACCCTGCACAAGGCATCTTGTTCATATACTTCCTTCAAGTGCCCAAATGTTTCCTGATTCGAGGTGTGTGTGTGTCCACTTAAAATACAAAATAGCAACCTCACCCTACCCCTTACATTCTCTGCTCCACTTACCTTACTTGCTTTTTTTAAATAGCCATTAACACTACCTAAATATTTTGTCTTTTTATGTGTGTACCTTGCCTACTAAAATGCAAGGTCATTTGAGGAAGGGGTTCTTTCGATATTGTTTCACCAGACCCTTAAATAGATATACTGTAGGTTTAATAAAAATCGCTTGGCTGGAGAGATGGCTCAAACGTTAAGAGCACTGGTTGCTCTTCCATGGAACCCAGGTTCACTTCCCAACACCAACATGGTAGCTCACAACCATCTTCAACTCCAGTTCCAGAAGATCCAGTGTCCTTTAATCGCCTCCTACGGGGCTGTACATGGTGCACAGATGTTCATATAGATGTTCTTAAACATAAAATGAAAAATTTAAGAATATTGGAAAACATTTTTTAATTTAAACGGTTTTCAGTTTTGCCCATTGATGTTTGTTGCTGTTGTTGTAACTCTGCGTGCGTGCGTGCGTGCGTGCGTGTGTGTATTTGCTCCAGAGACTCCATGTCCTGGAACCTAGACTTGGCTATTGTCTTGGCTGTAGCTAAGTAGCCCAGAGAGCCCATCTCCCTGCTTTGTATCCTCACCAGGAAATTGGTACAAGGAATTTAAGATGCCCACAGTCACATAGACCTGGTTTTGTCCCTTTGTGTCCAGGCTGCTTCCACGGCTCCTGATCAGGAGACTCTGACATCCAGTCTTAGTCACATCGATGGCCTGTCACTCAGTCTCCTCATTTCTGACACAAATTCAGTAGTTTTACACAGTGATGAATGTCCATGATTATTCTCTGAAAATAAAAGTTTCATGACATCTGAAGTGTATTTGACAATATGAACTAACAGTTGACATAGACCTGTTCAACATGACTCTTCAGCATCTGCAGCTCAGCGATCCTTGAGCACTGTTGTCCGACATCTGACTGACACATCATTGCCAAATGACTGATAGCAGTGACTTTGCCTCACCTCCAGTGAGATTTCATTGCTTCTCAAAGAAGGATATAGCTTTAATGTGGCTGTCTATCCAAGGGCGCTGTCCATTCATACTGTATATTACAAAATATCAGAGCCTTGTCTTCCTCACAGTGTTATTTAGAATGAAATTGTAGATTTGAATTACCTACTTTTTGTGGGAAAGGATAATTTGTACGCATGTGTTTAGCTGTCTGAGATGAACCTGCTTTTCTCTGACACTAAGAGAATATGAACCCACATAAAGTACATCCTCTAAAACAATGCTTACCTACTTACTGTTATAAAAATTAGATTTATAACTCACCCTTCATCAACCAACCCGTTTTCATATACTTCGGTTACTGTTGTTTTCTAGTTAGAAATAATAGCATCTTTGGGTTTTCAAACTCTTTTTCTCACATTTCATTATAATATATGGAATTGTATTCTGAGGCCGTCTTTGGCTGAATTATGAAAGTTAACTCAGTACCTGCTGATGATTTAATGCCAGCTGTGATACATAGAAGGAGGAAATGATACAGATTTTTAGCTGAAGCTTAATGTTTTTTTTTTGATTAAGTAAATCAGCTTTTTGACTGACATAGTAGGGGCTATAATTCTGCTCACTTCATAGGATCATTGGTTATAATTAAATGAGTTTGTATATGAAGATATCAGACACAATTGTAAAAAGTCATTAGAAAAATGAAAGGATACAATTATGGTTTGAAAGGTACTGTGTAAAAGTGGTCTGGGAAGAAAAGAAGCGGTAGATGAGTGTTTACTGTGGGCCAGGCATCACTTCTGAAAGAACTTTATAACTTCAAGGCATAGTTCCTCGATGAGTAAGAAAATGGCATCATTTAACTCTACCATTTTTTTAGTCTTGAAAAAGAAAATATGAGGCAAGAGTGGCAGAGTGTTAGACGTCAATAGTCCTGACAGCAAGCACACACACACACCCATAGTAGTCTCTGAAAATAACAAAAAGTTCAACAGTTTAATGTTGTGTTTTTACTGGAGTTACATACTCACATACTCTTGTCTTGAATTACTTGGGATGAGCTAATGAGGATAAAAAAAAAACTTCCATCTTATAGTTTGTACTGTTGTGTATGTGTTTTAAAAAACATTTGTCCCAAAGAAGTTGATCACATAAAATTTAAAATGCAAATGTTAAATTATTCAAAAGTAAAGAGTAGTTAACATTGCTAGAACAAAAAGTTTGTTTCATTTGATATGTATTTTTATCTTGGAGAATCACATAAAAACAGTTATCAGTTTTTGTATATGGTCTCTTTGCAGTTGAAGTTTGTTAAAGTATGTCACTCTTATTTTCACAGGTTTATAAAGTTCTGGTGTCTGTGGGCAGAAGCGAGTGGTTTGTCTTCAGGAGATACGCAGAGTTTGACAAGCTTTATAATTCTGTAAGAGACTACATTGTTTTTGTCTAAAGTAAAACATTTGAGAAAAATCCATGAGCTGAGAAATTTATTTGAATGAGTAAATCAATACATTACCAAGTGGAAAAGGGGTTAACTCTTGGAAACATCTTAACTTAATCTTTATGTGGAAAGACAGACAGTTCCAAGTGAACAAGGAGGCTGACAGACAAGACTGAGAGCTCAAGAGCATATTAGTGTCACATGACATTAGACACAAATCCTTTGTGCCAAATAATAATGGTATTCATCAAGGCAGTTCTGAGTAAAATCTTCAACTCTGAGATCTGAAGCTCTTATATCGGAAAGTGTCAACTGCACGTTCCTCTTCTGTGTCTTTCTTAGGAGCGATCGGTTCCAGGTCTCAGATACTGACAAAGCTGAACCACGTTTGCGATCTAAGAGGCCACTGGCTGTCTCAGTGACCGAAGCCATTTCACTCCTGATCCAGCTCTTAAGTCATTCACAGTCAAGTGCCTACAGTTGCACATAGTTTCAGCATATGCAGTGAGGTGCCATGATCATTGAGAGGCAGCAGGCCAGGTTCTGACAGGTGCTGATGTAGGTGGAAGATACTGTCTTAAAAAGTCTTAATGGCAATCAAACAGTGCATTGCGGAAGCCTGGATTAGAACAGCTCTGAGTCCCATGCTTTATTTCAGTTATGGAAGACAAACAAATAAGCAAAACAAACAAAAACCCAATTGTGCTCCCCACCCCCGGTGCATTTAATGAGTAGATTACCAGACATCTTTAGAAAATTGTGTCTATATTCAGAAAGGTAAATTTTCATTTAACCCTGTCTCCTGATTTTAAAAATATGTAAATCTTGGGGCTGTCATCATGGGGGTGGCTCATAATCACCTGAAGTCCCATTTCGAATGCTTTCAGAATCCTCTCTTGCCTTCAGGGACACCAGCACACACAGTGCATATGCAGACACATATCTACATTAATACAATTTTTAAAAATATGTAAATCTGCAAGCTATCATTCATAAGAGTTTTCAAAAACATATTAAGGAGCAGTTATCTCAGCAGAGAGACAAACTGTTTCCCAAGTGGAGTGAGTCATAAGATCTCATGGGTTTTTAGGTCATAAAAGTTAGACTTCTGGCTCACGGTATTTACCATTTCTCTAGCTGCCCTAAATAACACTCAGATGATATACTAATTGAAAATGAACTTACAAATAACAGTGTTCTAGTTTTGAATGACATGTACTTGTCCTGATGTAAGATATTAAATATTTTAGAAAATCTGAATAGTAGCAGAACTTAAAATAGATTAAATGTAAGCTGTAGCCAACTACTCGGAGGTAATGTTTACTGTTTTCCTCTGTTCTTTATGGTTCATTAAAGCTTATGTAATTGAATTTCCTATACAATGTTTTACATACTGCTTAACGAAGTCAAGGTAGTGACTGTAAGTGAAATTACAGTTTTAGAGGAAATTAGTAACTAGTAATGATGGGGTTAGCCTTTGTAACCTTTCCAGTAGTTTTTTTTAGATTATTTCTTTTGGGAATTGGTGAGAGTTGATCTGCTGCCCCTTGCACAGCCGTGGGCACCATCTCTCCATGTTTCTCTCACTGTTTTTCATCTTTTTATATCCTGATTTTGTCTTATAAATGTCTTATATATAAATGTTTCCGATTCTGCCTCTTGTCACCACAAAAAACAATATCAATTTTGTTATTTAAAACTATAAAAATCAGTCTGAACCTGATCTCCATCTCCCTAAGTTTGAAAACTCAAAATGTATTTCCTCTATTTAGAATAAAAGATAAGATAAAAAGTAAAATTTTCAGTTACTGAATATTTTTATTGTCAGCTTAACTGTTTTTAAAGAACATGGTTGGTATTTTTAACTTTAATTAATGCAAATTGTCTAACAGACAGCAGTAACTATATTAGTACATACAAGAAAATAATAAAATATTGCTGACATTGTCGTGGCACACACCTTTAATCCCAGCACTCAGGAGGCAAAGGCAGGTGGATCTCTTGAGTTCAAGACCAGCTTGGTCTACAGAACAAATTCCAGGACAGCCAGAGCAGTATAGAGAAAACCTGCCTTAAAGGGGAAAAAAAAAGCAAGAAAATAATGAAATACCATCACTGTCTTCGATTACTGCTACAATGCTATTTGTTCCATGTTACATATGAACCAGCCCATTGTAATTTTGGCATGCCATTTCATCTGTAAATATTTTAATACTGTTTTATCCAAAAGATAACGATTGTTAAAACACAGTATCACTGTCTGAATCTAAAGCGATCCCTTGATACTGAGTGTCCAGCACTTGTTGATGTGGCAGCTGATAAGTCTCTTAAGTGTCTACAGCCTGTGTGCTTGTTGTGGGATATCATTTGTTTATCCTCTTTAAGTCTGAGATTTGCTGACTGCTTGCTCATAGCATGCAGTAATTATTTCATTCTTTGTATTTTCTGTTACTTGCCAGTCAGATCTGTAGTTTCTGAATGTGTAGATTTTCTATTGCCAGCTGGCTTACAACTTGACTGTCCCTTGTTTAATTTCTTTCTACAATATGTGCTCAGGTAGCAAGTGGCTCTTCAATAAAAGTCAGTTTTTCCTCAAACAAATCTAATAGACAAATGTATTAGGTATTGATAAAAGAGAAAGCTGGAGTTAACGGAGTTGAGGGCAGAATTAACTCACCTTCTCTGAGAATCGTTATTAATCTGTTGCTGTAGATCTTGAGGTGAAGGATGAGTGGAACCTGGAGAACCTAGGTACCATTTTTCAGTCTGAGTTCTTACTTGAATGGGATCTAATTCATCCGCACAAAATATCTGAAAGATGCTCAGTTAGCTTATCCTTATTATACAGACAAACCAAACAAAAAACACTGAGGCCCAGAGATGTTAAGTAACTCTCCAAAGTCATGTACATACCAAACAATATACTGGGACAAACTAAGATAATTAGTAGTCAGTCTGTGGCATTTTATTCATATATATTAGTATTGTATGTTGTACCTTCATACAATGATAAGTCTTTCTTAAGATCATATTGTGTTGTGTGGGCATAAATAGATTTAGAAATTAGCTCACAGAATGCTGTTTTTAAAATTCAGTTGAAGAAACAGTTTCCTGCTATGGCTCTGAAGATTCCTGCCAAGAGAATATTTGGTGATAATTTTGATCCAGGTAAGCAAAAGCTTGATAGTATAACTGTTGAATTCTGGTTGAAGTTTGAAGTAGGTCATGTATTCACTGAAGAATATAATTATTCAGAACTCTTTGTTTTTTGAGATAGAATCTTGCTGTGTAGCCTAGGCTAACCTCAAACTTGTGATCCTCCAGCCTCAGCATCAGGCAAGTACTGCTACTACACCTATTTTGTTCATGAGGTCTATGGTATACAGTCTACTTCACTGTTGAGTAGGTACATAAGCTGTGCACCAGGGAGAGGTAGCAAATGGCTCTTGTTCAGTGCCAAGATACTTACCTCCTCCAAACGTAAGGACTGTGGGCATTGACTCCCTTTCCTCTAACAATGAAGCTGTAGCTTTCTTCTGGGGCTCCTACAAAGTTCTTGTCCAAGTTCAGGTTACATGTATAGATCATAAACACTTAAGCATTTATCCCTCCTTCAGTACCAAGTACCAACTAGGAAATAGCTTCTTAGCCACAGTTTGCTGCCCTTGCTTGTCTATTCTCCCATGAATGTGTCGTGATAGTTGTGTAAGATGACAGAGATATGACTGCTAGTGTACACCTGTCTCTCTTACAGATTTTATTAAACAAAGAAGAGCAGGATTGAATGAGTTCATTCAGAACTTAGTCAGATATCCAGAGCTTTACAACCAGTAAGTACTTTCCTTTTGTTCTAAAGGGACAGTGAAACCAAACCCAAGAGTACTGATTAAACCTCAGGAAGAGGTTTGTGAAATGTTACTGGTTGTGAAATCTTCGAGAACACGTTCTCCTAATTTCTGTATCACTTCCCCTTTAGCTTAGACTTTTCATTCTCTTTGTACCTGTATGATGTCTTAGCTGGTTTCTGTTCTTGTGACAGAACACCATGACCAAAGTCCTCTCGAAAATGAAAGGGGTGGTTTCATCTGACAGCTCTCAGATCTATACTGATAGAAGTCAGGCCAGGAACTGAAACAGAATCCATGGTGGAATACTGCTTGCTGGCTTGCTCGTAGCTTAGTCAACCTGCTTTCTTGTATGGCCAGAAGCACCTCCCCAGGGATAATGACACTAGCCTAGTGAGCTGGGCCCTGACACATTAATCGTTAATCAAGAAAATATACTACAGACTCGCATATAGGCAAATATTACAGAGGTTTTATTTTTTCAATTAAGAATCCCTCTTTATAGATGACTCTGGCTTGTTGCAAGTTGACAAAAATACCATCCAAGATAGAGAAATTTTATGGATCACTGTTTAAATCAGCTGGCATTATAGTTAAGTCTTGCTAACTGGTTGGTATTCTATTTATCCATCACTTGGAAAGGTACCTCTGTATCTTTGACACCCATTAGGATTAGGCCACATGTTATCCGTATGTTCCAGAAGCATAGGTAGTTTCACTCTGATTCTCCAACCTCAGCTCTTAACCCTTTCACCCCCCTCTTCTAAGATGGTCTCTGAGCCTTGCAGGAGTCAGGGTGATAATATAATGTCCCATTTGTGGCTGAGTACCTCCTGACTTAGTCTCTGCACTTTGGTCACTTTGGTTTTTGGAATACTCAGGATGCTGAGTGTTTCACTCAAGTGACTTCTGTCACTTAAGAGTCAATCTAGCTGGGCGGTGGTGGCGCACGCCTTTAATCCCAGCACTTGGGAGGCAGAGGCAGGCGGATTTCTGAGTTCAAGAGTTCGAGGCTAGCCTGGTCTACAGAGTGAGTTCCAGGACAGCCAGGGCTACACAGAGAAACCCTGTCTTGAAGAAACAAAACAAAACAAAGCAAAAAAAAAAAAAAAAAAAAAAAGAGCCAGTCTAACATTTCCATTGTCTAAGCAAGTAACTGCCTGGTAACCATTACTCTGCTTTCTGTCTAAGGAGCTGTCTGTTGCACACATTTCTTTTGAATGAAGTCATACAATGTGTGTCTCTTTTTTTCTTCCTTTATTCATTCTGTGCAGTGTTTTGAGGTTCATCCCTGTCCTAACAGGTATAAGTACTTTATTACATGGCTTGCCACATTGTGTTTGTCCATTTCTTAGTTGGTGGACATTTGTGGCATTTCTCCTTTTGTGCTGTCACAAATAATGTTACTATAAATACTCATGTATGAAATTCAGGGTATACATATTCTTAGGTTTTGTGCATGAAAACCTCATTCTCCATCCCTCCAGCAGCACATGAGCGTGGCCTTTCCTGCTGTTTTATTGATCTGACTTTTTCTGGTTAATGGATATAAAGTGAATCTCAGTTTCAGTTTCCATTTGGATTTCCTCTAATGTGAACTGTCTGTTTATAACTTTGCCTGCTCCTCTGTTGGTTTACCTCTTTTTAAAAGCAGAACTTCTTTATTCCTATTACAATAATGAATAATACAGTTTGTAGTTTTCTTGTGGCAAATGCTAATATGGTGGTTTCTGTTTCTGTTTCTTTTTAAAGGGACACAAGCTGTTCACATACTGTCAGAGTAATAAATTAATCTTTGTTTTCAGTCCAGATGTCCGAGCATTCCTTCAAATGGACAGCCCAAGACATCAGTCAGATCCATCTGAAGATGAGGATGAAAGAAGTACTCCTAAGGTAGCAGGGGGTGCTGAGCTTGACAGAGTAGCAACCTCAGACATGTGCCTGTCTTACTCCAGAGTAACATTAATGTAAAACCAAGAGATCGTGACTATGCTAGGTTTCCTACACTGTAGAATACCTAAAAACAGTTACACCATTTACACACTATCACCCACCCCTCCTTTTTCTTTTCATGTGTATTGTGTGTGCTGTTGTATGGTTCATATGTGTGGACATGCATGTGGAGGTACATATGTGTATGGAAGTCTGAGGTTGATATTGGGAGTCTTCTAAAGTGTCCATGCAAGGAAATGGATATTTAAAAATCACCTGTCTCCTAATACTTTCTTTGTTTTCCAACTATAGGCTTACACTCTTAATTGAAGACAAGCTATTCAAACAGTACTTTAAGGAGTAAAATCCATGTAAATACACTTTCCACACTTGGGCTGCTACTTATGTAAAAATATATGTTGGTTTAGGTTATTGAAGAATGTATTTATCAAGAATTTTTAATTGCATGTATTTATTTGTGTATGTGTTTGCACATGTACACATGAGCACACATGCATGCCCATGCATGGGTGTGGGCGTGGAGGTCAGAGGACTTGTGGGAATGGTTCTCTCCTTCCACCACATGGTTCCCAGGGGAATCAAACTCAGGCTTGGTGTCAAGCACCTTTACCTTGCCAGCAGTTACTAAGAACTTTTAAATAACCATGTGAAGTTCATGGCTAGAAGAGTTCTTGTAGGGTATCTAGAACCAAACCCCTTTATTTTTAGGAAAGGCAGCTTTAAGAAAATTTGGGGTGGGACACATGCCATTCCATGTACAACTTTAGGGAATGGGTTTTCTCCTTCTGTCATGTGGGTCCTGGGGATCAAACTCAGATTGTCAGGCTTGGCAGCAAGTATCTTGACTCACTGAGCCATCTCACCAGCCCGAAAAACCCGTGTTTTACTTTACCTATTCATTTATGATTTATTTAATTTCTTTCTCCCATCCCCACATGTATGTCTGTGCACCGCATGTATGTATGTGCACCTCATGTATGCAGTGCCTACAGAGTCCAAAAGAGTGTGTCAGATCCCCTGGAACTGAAGTTAGAGTTGAGAGCCACCTTGTCAGTGCTGGGAAATAAACCCAGGTCCTCTGGAAGAGCAGCCAGTTCTCCTAACCATTGAGCCATCTCTCCAGTGCCCTTTGCCCCTTATTTTAAAGAGAAAAATATGAGTCGGGAAATCTAGAAACTTAGAATCTCAATTAGTTGTCAATAATTTTTACCTTACCATGAATACAATGATTGTATATCATGTCTTAACATAGTATGTATAGTGAAATACTGTCTAATTTACCTTTGACTAAATTTCAGAGACATGCTCCACTAGGAAAATCATTACCAAGTAGTAAATGTTAGCTATGCATTGATGTAAATCAGGGGATGAATTGTTCATGTGATCTAGTCCATACTTACTACATCTAAGCAAGAAAAATCCTTTTAAAGGAAGACTGCCAGTGAAAAGAACATAGACCAAATGAATCAGCGTATGGTGCTTGCAGACAGGACCCTGGCATGGCTGTCCTCTGAGGCTCTGCCAGCACCTGATTAAGACAGATCCAAATACTCAGAGCTAACCATTGGACTGAGCCCTGGGGACCTCAATGGAGGAGTTATGGGAAGGACTGAAGAATCTAAAGAGGATTGTAACATCATAGGAAGAACAGCAATATCAACTGACCACCCCTTAGAGCTCCCAGGGACTAAACCACCAACAATTGGTTGGTCCATGGCATGTGGCTCCAGCTACATATGTAGCAGAGGATGGCCTTATCTGGCATCCATGGGAGGAGAGGTGCTTGGTCCAGTAGATGCTTGCTGCCTCAGAGAAGGGGGATGCTAGAGGGGTGAGGCAGGAGTGGGTGCGTGGGTTGGGGAGCAACCTCTTAGAGGCAAAAAGGAGTGGGTGGGAGGGTTCGTGGAGGGGAGACTGAGAGTGGGACAACATTTAAAATATAAATAAATAAAATAATAAAAAAAACAGTGTATCTATAACTTGGAGTTATGTTGTCAGATTCTATAAAACACTGCATTATTTACTCCTAAAAGTTAATCTCATGTTAAATTAAACCATGGCCAATCTCATCCCATGATCCCAGCATAGTATAATCTTATTCTATCGTGATTCATGTATTTCTCTCCTCTGAGAGTTGAAATTTATTGTATAAAAGTTTTCATATCAAGATAGAAAATAAATTGTGGTTATGACTTTAAAGTTGGCTGTAAGATTTTGAAATAACCAACTTTCAAAATATTTGAAGGATGAGAGTGTTTGCCATTTACTTTTTTATAAAGTATTGTGTCACCTGGAGATTATAAATCTGAAATAGATTTCAGTAAAAACATGATAATCTTACATGGAATGTAATTCTGTTCTTGTAAAGGTGTGTGTGGTAGATATACATAAAAGTCGTTTAATTTCCTGAATGTATAAAGAACTTCAAAGTGGATTTGTGGGAAGCTAATTTCACTTATACTTGGCTTTTGTAAAAGTGTCTGCTGTGTGCTGAGTTGGAAGCTCATAGGCAGCATACATACCCAGAGGTCCTGGTTTAATCCCTTGTACTCAAGAGAAAACAGATGCTGCCTATGACAGGATCGCTAGATTCAACTTGGGGAGTTTTCAGTTGAGTTTTCGAGTGAACGAGAATCCTTTAAAGTTAAATTGCTTTGTGCTTTAACAGGTGAGTAAGGATTGCTAAATTGATCCTGGGCTTTAATTTACTGTGTTTAAAACTTTGAAACTACTAAACTGCTGGGAATGAGAGAAAATCCTGTCCCTGTCATATTTACTTTAGAGATGATTCTGCCAGGGGCTGAGAGAGAAATCAATCAGTCTACCAGTGGGTGAACCTGAGTTTGGATCCATCCCCAGTACCCAGAGGAAAGCTGAGTATGGCAGTGTAGCTGAAGCGCCTGGGGTGGAGACAGCAGGTTCCAGGGGCTTGCTGGCCAGCCCCAGGCTCAGTGAGATTGTCTGTTAAAGATAAGATCCGGTCAGTTCCAGGGCTCCACTCCACTCAGTCGTATCTGCTGTGCATGGTCCTCGTTAATGTCAACCTTGCCTTACATTTTTTTAATATTTGAAAGACAAGCTGGGCAGTGGTGGTGAACGCCTTTAATCCCAGCACTTGGAAGGCAGAGGCAGGTGGATTTCTGAGTTTGAAACCAGCCTGGTCTACAGAGTGAGTTCCAGGACAGCCAGGACTACACAGAGAAACCCTGTCTCAAAAAAAAAAAAAAAATTGAAAGACAAGGAGGCTTGGTAACCAGTTTCTAAGTGTAAAGTGATGGTTCCTGTTAGAGTTGTTTTCTGTGCTTGTCTCTTCCTAGCAGCTTTGTCTGCTCCTTGTGCATTTAACACCGAGTGTCATTTCTGGCTCTTTTTCTTTCTTGCAACTGATCTTGAAAGTTATCATAGTAAAAGTGACTGGTCATACTGATATTTCAAGAACTAGGACATTAGGCTTCTTTGATATAAATTGCTGTCTGTGTTACAGTTATATAATTTTATATCAAGGCATCCATTGATTTGTAATCTTTGACACTAATGAGAATACTATTCTTCTCCCCCCCCCCCCCCGAAATAGCCACATTCTACCTCACGGAACATCAACCTGGGACCAACTGGAAATCCTCAGTAGGTTTAATTTATTTCAACTTTTTTTTTTGAGAATAAGCATTTTTGTGAAATTCTAGTTTTAACTGGAGGCCTGTGAAGTATGTCAGTAGACACAGAGAATGTAATGCTGTCGTGTGCTTCACTGTGTGTGCGTGTGTGTGTATGTATGTGTGTGTGTATGTGTGTTATGTTTACACGGTTGCATTTGCTTCCTTCTGTTTAAAACATTATTTTGTTAAAGAACAAAATAGCCCAAAGAACAGGTTTTTATAAAAGAAATATACCTATATTTAATTAAATATTTTTAATATATCTGTTTATTTTTAATTAATTTTTATTTAACATATAAAATACTGGCTTCTTATAGCATTTTCATGTATGTGTAGGTATGCTCTGTTCAGACTTGGCCCCCAGCACACACACGGACCCATCCTCTCTGCCATATACTCCCCTTTCCACTTCCATGTTATTCGTGTGTGTACATACTGTTAAACTTTGACTCAACACATAAAAGATGTGAAAATGTGTTTTGTCACTTCCTGTCTTGCTTTGTTCTTTCCCCTTGAGATCCTTGACTCCCCTTTTCTAGACCTTCTACTTTTGCACCCGCTGTGTGTGAGAGAAGATGTGCGCCATTTGCCCTTTTCTTGAGTCCGGCTTATTTGCTTAGTGCATTCTTGTTAATTTTTACCTTTTAAAATATTTAGTCTGGACCAAGTTTTAGGTTAAATGTGTATGAACAGACTTTAAACCTTTCTAGAGTTTATGTATTTACTTACTGTGTGTAGACGTGTGCGTGGAAGGTCACAGGGCAGCTTTTAGGAGTCAGTTCTTTGCTTGCACCATTTGATTCCCAAGCATCAAGCTCAAGTCATCAGGATTGGTGGCAAGCTCCTTTGCCTGCTGAGCTAATCAGATCCCCTGCTTTTTTGTTGGGGTGGGTGGGTTGGTTGGTTGGTTGGTTTTGCTAATTACTTGACATTTCAAACCTAAATGAAGTGATTCCTCCTCTGGTACAATCTAGGAATTCTGGCTCTCTATAGGAAACATTCCTAGATACTTAAAGGTCACTGTCCCACCTGCTGCCATGTGCCTTTACCAACATACAGCCAGTGCTGTTTCTATCTGCTAGGCTTGAATAAATACAAAGGCAGTGTTCTCTCTGGAGTTCTGTTCCTGGCTTTCCTTCATTGCATGCATGAGAATAATCCACTGAACTCTTACAATTTCAGTGTGCAGTAAGGGACTTAGATGTTAAACATTGGAGATTTCTCTTCATCAGAAAATGTCCTTGGGGGGCTGAAGAGATGGCTCAGTGGTTAAGAGCACTGACTGACTGTTCTTCTAGAGGTCCTGAGTTCAGTTCCCAGCAACCACATGGTAGCTCAAAGCCTTGTAATGGGATCTGATGCCCTCTTCTGGTGTATCTTAGGAGAGCAACTATGTTCTCACATAAATAAATAAATAAATAAATAAATAAATAAATAAATAAATAAATCTTTTTTTAGAAAAGAAAGAAGAAAAAAAAAGCACCCTTGACATTTTTTTGGGTGTTAGCACCTAGTACCTTGTTTTGAAGAATTACCAAACACTACTTGAACCTAATGTATGTAGGTTTCTTATATCTGTGTCTATATATTATGATGCTTATAAAAGCTTGTCTCTATTTTTTTTCTCTTAGAATTTTATTGAAGTACCTCTTAAACAGAGCTTAAACAGGGCTTATATAATTTAGTTGGGAGAAAATGATATTGCTGTTAACAAAGGAGATGTGCTAGTTTAAAAGCTTGGAAAATCTGGCATGAATCCAAAGTTTTGTTCCCCCAAATTAATTTGTTAAATTAATGAAGTACAAGGAAATGTTTAAGAGTTTATATTTTAATTTCTAGACAACTCAAATTTTTTTGTCATTGTTAATTTCTTTTAGTGCTAAACCAACTGACTTCGACTTTTTAAAAGTTATTGGAAAGGGCAGCTTTGGCAAGGTAAGAGTTTCTAGTGTTCCCATCTGTGACTAAGCACTAAAGGAGTGGCTGCTTTACATGTGCGAGTCATTGGGCTTTTCTGTTGGCAAGATACCGACTTAATAGTCTTTCTCTGCCGAGTCTCAAGGAGACGAGATATGTACTGAAATTCAAAGATGAAGTGCTTAGGTTCAGTGTGTCCTTATTGAGAACTTAGTGTGTGCCAAATGCTTGTCAGGGTTCTATTGAGAAAACTGACTTAGTGATGCTTACAGCCTTTTGGGGTAAATAGTGTATTAAAGAATTCACCCAGGTAGTTGTAAATAATATTGGGTCTGTGGTGAAATGAACAGGTGGACTGACAGTATGTAGGCAGCTCAGTTGGTCAGGAATAACCTTTGGAAGGAATCCTTTTAAATGGAGGCTAGAAAGACCGAAGTGGGCATTTCTGTGGGTTACAAAGAAAGGAAAACCTACTTAATCTAAGAGCATTAGAGCCATCCCAGATCTGGACAGTGCCCAGCCATGCCAAGAAGGTTGGCATGGTCAGCAAAAGTGTCACAGGAGAATCTATCTGAACCACCAAATACATTTATTCTTTTTTGCAAACTTCACTAAAACTTGTAGTAAAAATTAATATATGTATATTTAATTGTATTTTAATATATTTATAATTATATATATTTAATTATATTTCCTTATATTTGTAGCTTTTTGTATTTTTTGAGTTTTCTGACTTGCTTTGAGAGCAGGAAAGGACCACACTGCTAATCCTGTTTGTGTTTGTCTATTTATCAGATAACACAGTGATCACTTGTCACATTGTGCTAATATACACAGCAGAGAGTTAGAAATGGATCCTACTCTCTGGAACTATAGTTTATCAGAATGCTGTAAGTGGTCTGTCATTACAAACAATGTTGACAGATGTCAAGAAGTTAGTGGCCATTAACCCTGGTTAAATCTCCCTTTGCTTTGCATTCAAAGCAATGACAAGCTGGGTGTGCTGATTGATGCATGCTTATAATCTTAGGATTATAAGCTTGGGAGTCTGAGGTGGGAGGACGGGGATTTCAAAGCCAGCCTGAACAACATAGCATGATGCCATCCAAAAAGAGCAGAAGGATACATGGTGGGCTTTGCTGTTGCTCTGACGCTCTGGTTATGTCTAGAAGCCACAGGAAGTGGTTTTGTATGTAGTATGAAATGTAGGGTAATTGTTCATCTTTTCCGAGTGGCTTTATGGCTAATATTACAGAGTTCATTGAAACACAATACCTCCCAATACACACTGGGCTATAAGACCACCTCTATCAAATATTTAGCATTTATGTATGAACGAATCTGGTTTTGGACATTATGGTATGTAGTTCTGTTTCTAGACTTTATTTTCTGTTCTGTCGGTCTGTTTGTGTTTCCTGGCATCAGTGTTGTGTTGTCTTGACAGACATAGTCTGATAGCCAGCACAGGCCATCCACTCTTCTTCAGGAGGATAGTCTTAGCCCTTTCTATGTCTTAGAATCATGTCTAGTTCTACAAAATTTAGGTGGAATTTAATTTGAATGACATTCAATCTGCAGATAAGGTTAGATGGGGGAGAATTGATGTTTTTATATCTATAGACGTGGTATAAACTTTTCAATAATTAAATATTTTAACTTTTTCTTAACATTTTATAATATCCTATATATGATTTTACACCCAGTTTATTAAGTGTGTTCTTTGGTGTTTCTTTTGAACTATTGAAAACTGTTGTTAATCATTGATGGTCAATATATTTATGATCTGTGACACTGCACAGGAACACATATACACTAGGAAAGGCATATGCAGGCATGCTCAAAGCATCATTTTTCACAAATAATTTATCAAGAGAGCATATACATTACAATATAATATTCTATGTGACAACATAGACCATAAAATCTATTCCACATGCTATAATATATCATTTAGAGTGAAAAGAATGAAAAGGGGACTTTGTATAATTATTAATATATAATTTGGGAAACCAGAACTTACTAGTTATTGCACAGTAAAATAGTGGTATACTTACCTTTGAGAAGGAATGGAATGAAGTCATGATGGAGCAGTTTTGGCATACTTTACTTGACCTATGTAGTGTTATATAGGTTTTGTAAATGCTTACCAAGTTTTATGTCTTAATATGTACAAGCTATGTTTAATAGAAACTAAAAATTTTGTAGGTAATATAAACCCACAAGGTTCAATAAAATAAAAGACCAATATGCAAAAGCAAAGCAAACACAAATATAGAGTCACAGTCTGCTTGAAAAATAGTATATTATGTGAATAAGCTATGTGACGGTTGAGTGTGTGTCAGCTCTTTCCAGGGTATGGTTTCAGTTCAGTTTCCATTTGCTGATTTGCTTCTTAATTTTTTATGTATTGTTCAAATTTGCCAGTTACTAAATAAAGGAAAACACTGTGAGGGGAAATCGGAGCCGTCTGAGTGCAGTAGTCTTTGATGTATGTGCTAAGAATGCATTTAAAGATGATCCAGTCTGTATCAGAGAAAGAAGGGTCGGCTAGGTGAGAGTTGTCACAAAGGGGGAAAAATAAGGAAGGAAGGGTGTTGCTCAGTCTGTAGAGAGGATGAGGAACCACAAAATGTGCTTGGACAGAGAATATTTCATACTAAAGTTGTTTTGACTCCATCTTTATGAATTCCAAACATTTTTAAATCAATAGACTTATTTTGGGGAGAGCTTTACATAGCATGCCATATGCTAATACAATACAAACCATCACAGCAAGCCAGTGTTGATGTTAGTATTAACATACTTGCATCATTTATTTGGATTTTGTAGCTTTTACCTTCTCTTTTCCTATCCAGCTACCACTATACACGGAGGTTTCATGTCTGCTCGGGTTCGTCTTGGCTACCAGTTTCCCAGACTTCCCTTGCTTTTGATGTCCTTGACAGTTTGAAGTCTAGTGAACATGCATATTGTAGGAAGCTCCTCTGTTGGGCTGCTCTGATGTTTTTCTCAAGTTCAGACTGAGGTTCTGTATTTGGACCAGAGAGATGGATGGCAGTTCTAGAAGTAAGCATGCTAGTGTCAGTAGTTGATGTCCTGGGTTTTGAAATGCCTTGGGACATGTCCTTTAGTAATTACACAGCTTAATTTATGGTAGTCTTTTATACCTTACCATTATTCTCACGTATCACAGAATGTAAATGTGTTTGAATGAATACATTCATATGCAGTTTCATCACTGAAGACATCACAAAGTATACAGCTTACTACATGTCTAGGCCTTGCACATTACATCATAGTATACATGTCAGTCATTGACTACAACATTGTTATGTGTAGCACAATCTTGAATATGTCTTTCTTTTCTGGTACAACATCCTCTTTTTTTTAATGTATATATACAAGCCAGACCATTATAAATATACAACAGTCCGTCTTGCCTCTTCCTCTACATGTCTAGGCCGTGAACTCCATTGTATACATGTCAGTCATTGACCAAAGCATTGTTATGTGTAGTATGACCTTGTGAATTCAGAGCCTGTAAGAGAAGCCTGCATAAAATAACAATGCATTATGTTCACTGAAGAAAATCAGCCCCTTTATGTACCTACCAAGGTTATAGCTTCAACATTTTCTTTTTATTAACTTATTTACTTGTGAGTATCTGTGTGTATAGAAGTCAGAAAGAACCTGTGGGAGTCAGTTCTGTCCTACCACATGGCTCCCAGGAATCAAAGTTCTCATCAGGCCGAGGAGCCTTTACCCACTGAGCGTCTCCACAGCTCCACTTCAGTATTTTCTAAGCTAACTCCTCAAAGGGGGACACATACAGAAAGTCCTTTAGTAGTTTGTATTTGGTGATGAATTTAGTAAAAATCTCATTACTAATATAGTAAATAACAAATAAATGATCTCTCGCTATTCAAATAATCAGAACCGTTTTTGTTTTATTAAAACATCTAAGAAAAAGTAGAATTATAGACGTAAATTCAGTAGTGTTTCATCTTCAACACAAAACACATGTCCCTTTGGGGCATGCTTTTTAGAAACTTTAAAAATACCACAAACTCATCACTCATTTGCAAATCTTTCTAACAGGTTCTTCTTGCAAAACGGAAACTGGATGGAAAATTTTATGCTGTCAAAGTGTTACAGAAAAAAATAGTTCTCAACAGGAAAGAGGTAAAGTAAAATACCTGTTTCTCCTGAGCCTATTTCTTTATGAGCAGTTGTTTTCTGGTATACACTACAAATTGATATTTTGCATTTTTTTTTCCAGCAAAAACATATTATGGCTGAACGCAATGTGCTCTTGAAAAATGTGAAGCACCCATTTTTGGTTGGATTGCACTATTCTTTCCAAACAACCGAAAAGCTTTATTTTGTTTTGGATTTTGTTAATGGAGGGGAGGTGAGTTTTGTAATTAGTTGTCTGATAGAGACCATGGCTAGTAAAAAAAAAAAAAAAGTAGTGTGAGATCCAAAAGGCTCTTATGTAAGTTTTGAGCTGACTGTGCTTTATCAACAGCTGTTTGTAGAGTGAAAACAATATTCAGTGGACCACACACCGTGCAGGACATAGAGAAGTTACAGGCATCGCGTGTGGTTTTGTCAATGCTGTATTACAAAATTGTTCCAACCATTGCCTAGGAATGTTAGCCAGACATGTTATTTTCTAAAATGATCAAACTGTTCATCAGTGAGTGACCCCTCCCCAGAGTTAAGCTGATGAGGGATTGTTTGATGTTGTATCAGCTTCCTGATGGTACATTTGGATTTCAGCATGTTAGAGTCTGGCAAGATCTGTCTCAGAGAAATTTTTTTTTTAAAAGAAAAAGATAATTGTAATCACTGAGTCCTCTCTTCTGTTTGTGCCAGTAAACCATGGTCCTCAAAACTCTCAGTCAGAAGACTGTTGAAACCCGGTCTTAAATGCCACTGTCCAGCAACTGATACAGTGTTAGTGTGTGTAAAGTATTACCTGTATGCCCAGGACTCTGGCTCCTTGGGAATTACTTTATCATCATGACAGCCACATTGTATAAGACAAAGCTGTCCAGCTGGCCAGAGCAAGTCATGGAGTTGTTGCTACTGAGTAAGCTTGGCAGTGTGGTAACAGATTTCAGCCAGTTGGCCATCCCCGGTCTTCTACTTCCCAGTCCCCTTAGATTTCTAATTCAGTTGGTCTCTGATCCGCAAGTGTCTCTAAAGTTTATTTAAGTAATATATCTTACAACACCTTTACAAAGGAATCCTCTCTCCCTCCTCTCAGCAAAGAGAAGAGACTCAATGTTGCTGTGCTTCAGTTGACCATAGAATAAAGGTGAAAGAAAAAGAGAATGAAGCTGGGCATGGTGGTGTATGCCTTTAATCCCAGCCCTCGGGAGGCAGAGGCAGTGAGATCTCTGTGAGTTCAAAGCCAGCCTGGTCTACAAAGTGAGTTCTAGGACAGCCAGGGCTACATGGTGAAACCCTGTATGGAAAAAAAAACCAGAGAGAGAGGATGAATATGAAATATAAAATGAGTTACAAGCAATAAAAAATTTGAAATCAGAGACAACTTTGTCAGTGTTACTCTGTTCCACTTCAGATTGAAGGTAGACATCTCAGTCATGAGCCTCTCTTCCCTGCCTCTCAGTCTTTGAAATGTTCACGGGAGACATCTAAGTGGATGAGGGCCATTTTCTTATCTGTGGTTTCTTCATATTTTGGGCCTGTGCTTTTGGATCATTTTACACAGCGGTTGTTCAGACCTGAGCAATAAAAGTGGAAAGATGCTCATTGCATCCACAGGATGAGCTGTGCTAGGACAGTCGGGGTAGGGCACGAAGTGCTGGAGAGTGACTGCACTAGGGTGGAGGTTCCGTGTGGCCGGCAGGAGGAGGACTAGAGATAACGCCAGAAAGCAGGGTTGAGGCGGAGTGTGGTCTTATCCTGTGCTCTGTTTTTAACTGTCTCTTAGGTGTGTTGTCTTGTTTCTGTTGTTTGAGACAAGGCCTTGCTATGTATGTAGTTCTTTTTCACTTGGCACTCCCTATGTAGCCATGGCTGTCCTTAAGCTTGTGATAATCCCTCTGCCTCAGCTTCCTGAGTGCTGGGCTTGCAGGCATGTGCCAACATAGCTTGTTTGTTTGTTTGTTTTATATGTAGAGCCTCACTAGATAGCCTAGGCTGTAGGTCTCAGTCTCAGCCCTCCCTCCCACTCCATGTGTGACGGTCATGCAGCACTGTGTCCAACTTCTCTGTCCCATTGTTTTTAAATCTTGACTTGAGACATGGAATTTTTGTGTACTACTTATTCTCTTCATTGGAGCCAAGTGGACTGCCAGAAATGAGTTTTAGGATGCTGGGCAAATTCTGAGCTAGCTTCCTCATCAGTTTCCTACCTCACTTAGGTCTGTTGATTGGGAAGATTAAGTAACATAAGTGTATCTTTATACCTCACACAGAGCTTTTGGTTTACCAAGCTGTCCACAAGGCCCAGTAATGGTATTTACAGGTAGTTGCATGGCAGCATCAAGGTTGTAGATTTTCCGTAATCTTTTCTAAAGTGGCTATCTAGAATGGTATGGAAACTGCCACACTGAGGACCGAGTGCAGTACAGGGAGATAAGAGAAATCAGTGAAGCCAGTGGTACAATAGCTAGATAAGAGACGGACTCATGGTTGAAGATGAGAGATACAGACAGGACAGCTGGGCCTTCCTGAGCTTCCATCTCATGATAAGTATATCAGAAATGACATTTTTCTGTGATGCCACATGTGACCACACTAACAGCTCCTCTCCCTCCTGCAGCTCTTCTTTCACCTACAAAGAGAAAGGTCTTTTCCTGAACCCAGAGCGAGGTTTTATGCTGCTGAGATTGCCAGTGCCTTGGGTTACCTGCACTCCATCAAAATAGTGTACAGGTGAATCATGTGTCTAAGTTACATGGAAAATACCTCCTGAAATGTCTAAGGTTTCTTGAAGTATTTCAGATGGGAGTCATATTTTTCTTTTCTTTTAATTCAATATAGAGACTTGAAGCCAGAAAATATTCTTTTGGATTCAATGGTAAGTATTATCTTTTTAAAAATCTTGTAGTTTTCATTTCCTTGTTGTTGTTAGCCATGGTAGGAAATTGTCTTACAGGTTCCACACTGTATGACTGCATTTCTGTAATATTCTTGACGTGACGTTGTGCTTTGATTATCCTGTTAGTGTTTATAAGGGGACAAGGTTGGAAAAAGGGGAGCCCACAGAGATAAGGAACAAGCATGAGGCCCCTTGTGAGGAAGCAGTTGTCTGTCTTGAGTGTCGTCAGAGCTACAGCCGTACACATAGAGTGCATAAAACTGCACACATACACACAGGATTACACATATGCAAAGTAGTGGCACCAAATAAAGCCAGTATTGTAATTAGCAATTTTGTACTAATGAGAATTTCTTGCTTGACATTTGAACAAAATGTCAGCTCTAGGGTAAACTCGATGAGGTTACGGTTTCTACTGTTTTTGAAATTTTATTTGTTTTTATAGTTATTTTAAAATAAAAAGGGTTTCAAAATTGTCAGTTCAGCTCCTGGGATACAACTCAGTGGGTAGAGTGATTGCCTAGCATGCAGGAAGCCCTGGATTCACCTTACTTTATTATTTATTTATTTATTTATTTATTTATTTATTTATTTATCTATTTATTTGGTTTTTTGAGATGGGGTTTCTCTGTATAGCCCTGGCTGTCCTAGAACTCACTCTGTAAACCAGGCTAGCCTCAAACTCAGAAATCTGCCTGCCTTTGCCTCCCAAGTGTTGGGATTAAAGGCATGTGCCACCATTGCCCGGCTTACTTTAAAAAAAAAAAAAAAAGGCGCAGCTGTACATACCTGTAATCCCAGCACTTGGGAAGTGGAGGCAGGAGGCTCAAGATATCCAAAAGTTTTAGGCCAACCTAGGGTTATATGATACTCTGTCTCAAAAAAACTAAAAATAATGAACTAGCAAGATTACATAATGGGTTAAGGACACTTGCCTCAAAGTCTGATAACCTGAGTTCCATTTCCAGGACCAGTGTTGGATGGAGAGATCTGACCCTAACTTGTCTTCTGACCTGCACACATGCATGCACATGCGCATGTGTGTGCACGCACGTAAATAAATAAATGTAAAAAGTTTAAAATAAATGTAAAAGGGTGTAAAAAATTGTATAAGGATGGGTCAGTGGTTATGAGCAGTTGGTAGTCTTACAGAGGACCCAGGTTTGGTTCCCAGCATCCACACCTGGTGGTTCACAACTACCTGTATCTGTAGTTACAGAGAGTCTGATGCCTTCTGGTATTCTCAGGCACCTGCCTTCCTGTGGTAAGCATAGACTCACACAGGTGCACATACACAGAAAATAGAAAGTTGTTACAATGAAAAGCTTGTTAATTCCTATCTAGACATTGTTAATTTATGTCTGCACATTGCTTTATCTAACTGCCTTCTATTTGTCAGGGACATGTTGTCTTAACAGATTTTGGACTTTGCAAAGAAGGAATTGCTATTTCTGATACCACCACAACTTTTTGTGGTACACCAGAGGTAAGAAATATGTCTGATCATTGATATAATTTATAAAATATAAATACAAGTCACACTCTACATCTACAGAAGAAGTGAAATAAAACCTGTTAGAGCTTCCAGCTTTCTAGGGACTTAGAATGTATAGTGAGAATTTTTCACGGTGACGTGACATGCTACAAGACCCTTGGGAAGGACAGAATGAGAGTGTACAACTCACTGAAAATCTAGATGTACGTCTTTAATTATGAGTAACAGAGCCTGAAATTTGTTCCCTTTTCGGTTCCTAAATTCTGTCTTGAGTTCACTGGGTTGCTGTCATGTTCCCATTTTTTTCTGTAGTACCTTGCACCTGAAGTGATCAGGAAACAGCCCTATGACAACACTGTGGACTGGTGGTGCCTGGGAGCTGTTCTGTATGAGATGCTGTATGGGCTGGTATGTGTTTCTGTTCCTTATTGTTCACTGCACCATCGGTAACATAGTAACTAGTAAGCCTGAAGTTCCTTAGGTGGTACCAACAGCGCAGCACTGGCCTTGTTAAATGAGTCTAAAACCGTGTCAGATGGAAATAAAAGTTTTCAGTTAACATATTACTATTATGTCTTAAAAGATGATGCCTTTGGGGTTTTGCCTTTCATTCTGTTTTTATTGGGTTGAGTTAATACAGGCATTTCCAGCTTTTATACCACTGGATACCACCTGTTTCCCTTCTCTGAAACATCATGGCTTTAAAGAATTCACTGGGGGAAAAAAAGATGTTTACTGTGAAATTGAATGCCACAGTTTTCAGTAACGATGCCTAAGGCCAACCAGAGTTACTGGTTAAAATGAAATTTTATTAACTATACTAAGATACCACTCCAACCCAGAGCAACCTATTTAGGGTTTTTGGTTTGTATATCTTCATAATAGTTCATTTGTTTTTCTTTTATGTGGTGGGGGGGGCAAAAGTCAGCTTCTTCCATAGCTGTCCACCGTTTTTTGTTTTGTTTTGTTTTGTTTTGTTTTGTTTTGTTTTTTTGGGGGGTTTGGTTTTTTTCGAGACAGGGTTTCTCTGTGTAGCCCTGGCTGTCCTGGAACTCACTCTGTAGAACAGGCTAGCCTCGAACTCTCGAACTCAGAAATCCGCCTGCCTCTGCCTCCCAAGTGCTGGGATTAAAGACGTGTGCCACCACCGCCCGGCTGTCCACCGTATTTTTTGAGACAGTCTCTCATTGAGCCTCTAGTTCACCAATGTGTCTAAATAGGCAGGTTAGCAAGCCCTAAGTACCTTTGTGTTTCTGCACCCAGCACTAGATTACAGGCATGACTGGCATTTTATATGGGTACTGAAGATCTGGGTGCAGGTCCTCTTGTTTATACAGCAAGTACTTCAGTGACTGAGCCATCTCTTGGGACAGCACCTAAATTTTGCTTTTCTCTAGCCCATTTGAAATCTTTGGATTGCTTTCTACATAGTTTTTGTGGTCCCTAAGTATAGAGCAGCCCCATGAATGACCATGACATTGCTGGTGCTAAATGCTCATCAGCTGGCGGGGGGCGGGGGGAGGGGGGGGGTAGGTGGGCAGGTGGTGAGGGACGGGGTGAGGGTGTGGGGGTGGGAGTGG